AAAAAAAAATATATATATATATATATATATATATATATATATATTTAAGGTGTGTTATTGTCCTTCTAGCAATACCGCGTTTATAACGAATCTTCAAGATGCGATCAACGCAGTCAGTTTTAGTAGATTGTGTTTTCAGGCCACACTAATCGTAGCGGGAGCTCGCGTTGCCACTTCGATGCATGCTCTAAAGCGCGCGCTCGTAGCGGTAGCGGGCCTTTGAAAACGATCTACTAAAACTCTATATTGTTCGCTTCCCGAATGCACCGATACCACTGTTGGGTGATTTCAACTACCCATCTATAATATGGTCAGACGAGGGTGCAAACCTTAATCCTTTCTCTTTCGGATGTACTGAGTTTTGAATCTTTGTTTAGATTATAAATTTTCTCAAACTGTAATTACGAAACCGAAGCGTACAACTTCAATAACTGCTGCTGTGCTTGACCTCATATTGCCATCGCCTGAGCTGACCTCCTCGTTAACTTAGATGCCTGGCCTTAGTGATCATTCCCTACTTCATTTTTTGTTAAACATTCCTGGACGCAATAAGTCCAATCACATGAAAACATTTTTTTACTATGCTAGGGCTGATTTTGATTCAATCAACAATGAACTTTGTCTTTTTCTAGAGGAATACATAGGTTGTTTTGCTGAGCGCTCAGTTGATCATAACTGGTGTTTATATAAAGAACAAGTTATGTCACTCATGAACACACCTGTTCCCCTTCGCGCGTATCTTCTTCACCAGAATCTCCATGGTACAGCGTGACACTGAAAACGCTGTCAAATAAAAAGAAACAATTATTTTGCACTGCAAAGCTATTGGACAATGTACAATGCTGGGAAGCCTACCATGTTGCAGCTAACGTGTATAAGAAAGCAGTCGAAGAGGCAAAATTATATTACTTTAACAGTACGCTGCCGTCAATGTTACTTAACAATCCACGTCAATTTTGGAAAGTTATTAACCCTCCGACTAGTCCTCGCTTAGTACGAAGGGACACCCATGGAGAGGAGGTGCCCGGTGAACAGTGTTCTTTTGTGTTAAATGATGTGCTTGTTGGATCTTTTTCATGCACGGTAACCTCAGATTGTCCGGTATTTAGAACTTATGATTTCTTGCCCATGTTTCCAGTTATCATAGACTGTGAAGGTATATCTAACATTATCGAAAACCTTAAAACGAATACGACAGCAGGCATTGATAATATTAATGCTAAGTTTTTGAAAAAAAAAACACTAGTACTCATGCATTATCTTATCTAAATTATTTTTGCAATCACTTAAGCAAGGAGAATCACCAAAAGGTTGGAAGGTGGGGAAGGTGATCCCTCTCCACAAAGGGGGTGATAAGCATAACCCTTTAAACTTTCGTCCCATTTCTTTAACGAGCATTCCTTGTAAAATCCTTGAGCACATCATTCATACTAACATTTTAAATTTTCAGGACTCAAACTCATTTTTTAACTCGGCGCAACATAGATTTTGAAGGTTTTATTAATGTGAAACTCAACTCCTAAACTTTACTCATGACCTTCACGTAACACTTGACCGGGGTTCCAGGAGTGACTGTATATTTCTTGATTTCTCAAAAGCTTTCGACAAGGTTCCTCACGTGCTGCTTCTTCATAAACTACGTAAAGTTAACATAGATCTTAATATAATCGCTTGGATAGAATCGCTTCTATCAGACCGTTACCAATTTGTTCACGCTAACGGAACTAATTCTTCAACCTCACGTGTCAAGTCCGGTGTTCCACAAGGTTCTGTACTAGGTCCACTTTTATTTATTATACATATTAACGACCCTCCCACGCATGCATCATCTTCTATTAAAGGGCAACTCCGCTTCATTTTTGATATTTAGAAAACTATGTAGCCCTCTTCAGTATCATATAGGAAGACCCCATGTGAAATATTACGATCTAATTCCGTCTATATATTTAATAAACTGGCCAGCAAACTTTCAAATCAGCCAAGTCGCCGAAATCTGCCAACTCGAGCGTGCGACGTGAGGCCCAATCGTCAGCGCAGTCAATGCGACGGAGTTTGAGCGGCAAACGTTGAGCCACTATGTCAGAGGCATGACGACGTCATTCTCACGTTTTGTTTGTTTTTACTTCTCAGAGCGAAATTGAACGATGACGTCATGAGTTTCTCCTCCCGGTGTTGGCTGAACGGCGTCCACGTGATCACCGTAACGCGGATGCGCTATAGTTTGCGCTGCCCTGCACTTATCGGTCTGCTTTTCCGCTCCCCTTCTCCTCTTTCGTCTTCTCCTCTCCCCCGGGCCATCACCGTTCACACCATGCGAAGCGACCTGCCCGCGTCGCGTGTCCTGTCCCTCGCTCCCTCCTGAACGTCATAAGACCACGTGGTTCGACGTGACCTGGCCATGACTCTGACGACCCGAAACCAATGTTGCCTGAGCAAACAAAGTTTCGGTTTCGGTATCAGCTGATGTTTAAATTAGGATTACACAAATAACAGCAAGTGGAAAGTTGGGCCAGTTGGTTCATGATTCTTTAAATAATTAAAAGGCCGAAAAAGACAAGGACAAAGAAGTGGAACGGCACAAGGCGCACTCGCAACTGTTGTTTTATTTTGAAAAGTACATGCATTTATAGGCCCCAGAACCCTGTTAGTCATCAGCGTGTCCCTCGCAATACTACTCTCAAATATTCTAACTCACTCTTTGACAGGGCGAGTGACGCTTCACTTACACACTCAACGCCCTTATCCCTAATTGCATACGCCTCGTGCACCTCCCTGCTTGTTCGGTCGCGATAACGAGCCAAAATCTTAATGTCATGTAGCACTGGCGTACATGGGCATCTATTACAATGAATGGCGAGATGGCCAGACGGGCTGGCTCGCGTGGCAGCCACATGCTCGCGGGCGCGGTCATTCACGCATCTGCCAGTCTGGCCAATGTACACATCGCCGCATGACAGGGGGATTTCATATACAACTCCTGAGGCACACTCGGCGAAATTTTGTTTTGTGGTTTTTGCTGCAAAGATCAGTCCAGTGGGTCCATCGGGACAATTGATTTTATGGCAAAGTTGGACCATCCGATTGGGCGCTGAGAAAACCACAGGTAGGTTGAAACGCTGGGTTGCCCTTTAACCTATTCGCTGATGACTGCATAATTTATAAGAAAATAATTATCGACTCAGACATATCTGCTTTTCAGACCGATATTAACGTCAGCCACTGGTGCGATAATTGGCTTATAGAACGTATGGCGCACCGTGCATTCGCGAGCACGCCCATCAAACCACTGTGCCATCTTGGCCGCGAGGCAGCTACGTAGCTGCCTCGCCTCAGACACGATCACATGGTCGTGTCGCCGTGGGGTCGATTGGGAGGTCGAATTCGGCTCCCGACGTGCCGCTTTCTCTCCTAGCCACTGGATGGCGCTGCAGGTGCCCCGTCGCGGGCGAGGAGAAACTTCCTCGCCAATCGATCGATATATACTTGGTAGACAGGGGGCGAAGAGCCTCTTAGAACTTCGGACGAGACCGAGACGCAGGCGGGAGGGTGGCGACCAGATCTAGGATATTGCGGGACACGAGGCCTGGGGGCCCTTGTGTTTAGCTTCTGGCTTAACGCGCGTTTGTCAATATTTGTGTAATGTCGCGTGTATTTGTAGTTTAGATTGAGTATTTTGTAGCGTTGTGTTTTATTGTACCAATAAACGGGGAGCGGAATCCCGCTCCCGTGAAAGAACCAGGCTAAACTAGGTTTGTTGACGAACCACGTGGGAAATGGCGAGTCGGCGGCGGTACGCGATTTCCTACAAACGTAACACCTATAAATGTAGAACCATGAGTGTCTCATCAAAGTAACATTTGTCTCTCCAACTGCATTAATAACTCCACCTAGCTTTCTGTGTCAACCTATAAATATCTCGGGGTTCATATAACTAACCATCTCTCCTGGAACATCCATGTCGAATATATCACTAACAATGCTAATCACTTATTAGGCTATCTCAGAAAAAACTTTTCCCTTGCCCCTGTTTTACTTAAACTTCTCCTATATAAAACTTTAGTGTGCACCAAACTTGAGTAAGCAGGCTATATCTGGAACCCTGGCGTCACCCTAGCATCATTCATTGAATCCATTCAAAATCGCTCTGCACGTTTCTATCACCATACAGCCAGCATCACCTCCATGAAGGCGTCTCAATATTTGCACAACCTCTCCTTTCGTAGAAAATAGCTCGCCTCTGCTTATTTCACAAGATTTATAACTAATCCAGCACTTCGCGAACCTCATTATTTTCAGAACCATCATACATATCGCCGCGCACCGATCATGCACTAAAAGTAGGAATCCCCTACTGTATCACCTCCACCTTTTATGCCTCCTTCCTACCCCTGACCTCCGTCGACTGGAATCGCCTTCCCGCATCCATAGTCTCACTTACTGACGCTGCTGATTTTAAAACCGCCATCACTGATGTTCTGAATATTGTTCCATAGCGATTCTGTACCTTGTTTTGTTTTTTGCGTTTTGTTTTCATTGTTCACTTTATATTGATGCCTTCGGGCCCTGAGAGTATAATAAACAAAATGAAATGATAGTGAGAACAAGCAACCATGTCATCTGGTGCCGATTATATGCCACCAGCATTCATTGGAGCCACACACTAAGGTTGGCAATGAACACGCCTTGTGATGCAGACATTCGGCTCTTCCCATCTTAGCAGCGATTGGACACCAACTTTAATCCAAATGTCTACCAGAGTAGAATGCTGGTGCAATGTTAACTTCCAATCCATGAGCTGCATTAGACTGTGGTCATCCTGGGGACATCACCACAACAATGCCAACATTGGGACAATATCTGTGATTACATCAGGAGCCTTTGAGCCAGTGCCATTGCATGTAAGATTGGATGGAGCATACACTAGCCTTCAGAAGCTACAATTCTCACGTTGCTGCTAATGCAGTTAACATGAGTGTTAAATGACAACATACAGGATGAAATACACTGTTTAAACATTTATTGGGCTTGAGGAAGGACTCATTAGTGCTACAAGATTTCCAACCAACAACCTTCACTGAAACTTCCAAAGTGTATGAAGTTGTGAAACATATAGAACACCGCTCCGCAACATTGCACGCCTCAAATGTCATCCATGAATCCTGTAGACTTGCGACCACAGCTCTCAACAAAAAAATACGAAAAGGATATTTTTAGCTTCTCGGAGCAAGAGTAAATTGAAAGACAGATAGGAAGCTTTCCGGAAGGCATATAGATGGCAGGATTAAACGCAAGAGACACTTTGACTGAAATGGCTCTCGTCACAGAACTGCCAAAACAACTTCTATGCAGTTAAGCTGGGCCGTCGGGAAATGCAGAGCACAACGAAATCGGTGGACAAAAAGCATTGGCTCGGGAATCTTTCCAAACGCTCCGGGCGGTTTTCTCCTCCTCTCCACCCCTTGTAAGGCACTTGACTCGACCTTTGGACTCCTAGCACACAGCACACTCAACAATCCACAAAACCAATTGTTCTTAAAAACCCAAAAAGAAAAAAACAAAAAACAAAGTTTTCGAGGTGCCTAGGCAGTGTCTGTACACAGCTAGAGCCCCGCCTGTATGTGACTAAGGTAATACGCAGTAGTATTATTAACCGCAAGGAAAAAACTAAAGGAGTTTCTGTAAAAATGACGTAGTAAACTACACCTGCCAAAGATAGGCAAAAACCGAAGGAAGCACCTCTCCGCCCGACACTGGTGAGGCCAACTCCACAAATGACCTCGAGCATAGCGAGTTGCTCCCCCTCTACATCTTCGTACTCCATTCATCCCTAAGTCGACAGTGCGGTGGGAGCTACGCATCCGCCAGACCAATGAACCGCCTTCTCTTTGTTGTACGACACTGCTTTCTGCGCGTGGTTAGGGTGGAAGCGTAATCACGCGAACAAAGGTAGACGTACGACCAATCTAAGGAGCATGTAGTTTCTGCTGCACTGTCGGCTCAAAGGCAAGAGGATTACGATCCGCACCACCAGCCGTTGAGGAGGGAGTGCATCAGAGATGGTCGCACCGCTTGGAGGTGCGCATAAATATCTAGGCCTAGGCCGCTGTATTTTGGGGCTCAGTGCAGCAGGTCCCTGATCTCCTGCTTTTCGGCCGCCTCGAGGTAGGACTGCCCCTCCGGAGTGGTGCCTTGCTTCGATGCTCCCTGCGAGGATCCATTGGCACACCGTCACCCACACTCTGCCTGACCAGACCCCGCACCACTGAATCAAAATTAACTGTTGGGCTGGTTGGCTGTACATTGCTAAAAATCAAAAACGAAAACAGCAAGGAAAAGAAGAGGGGACAGGACAGAGTGCCTACTCCAACTGGCTGTTTCATGCACTCACTGAGGAAGACAAAAAAGTAATAGGACATGCGGAGGTAGAAAGAGGAAAATTAATGCTGTTGATTATAGATGCATTAAAGAAATTGAAAATTAAATGTAACTTCACCAGTTCACAATAGCAATTTTTTTCTTTTTTAATTTAAAAACAAGTTTTAAATTTTTTTTTTATTGCACACTCTTTTTTCTTTGCTAGTGTAAAGGGGTGAAGTTAAATTCAATTTTTAATTTCGTTAATGCATCTATAATCTATAGCAATGTAATGTAAACCATGCCAAAGAGTTTGTAGAGGGCAAAGAAAGAAAGGTTTATTCAATTGCACTAAGTTGTGGCAGTCAGCACATCGGACAGACCAGGAGATGCGTCAACCATCGACTCGGAAAACAGAACTTGGAACCATCAAAGGCTTCAAATGCGTCTTTTCACCTAATCATCGTTCACAGTCGCACATGCAATGACTGTACTCCTTATTTCTCTGATACTAGAATACTAGGTGGGCACTACAACAAAATATGGGAGAGAAATCATTGAACCATTTGCCATGGGGACTGTCAACGTTTCTTTACCTTCATTATCACTGACAAAGACAGAGGTTGAATTTCTAACACCAGAGATGACTAGTGATACCTCGTCGCGACGCTAGTGCTTTTTAAACTTTTTAATTTATAGTACATTTCCCTTCGGGGCTGCCAACAGGAATATTTCTGCACCTTCATTATCACTGACAACGACAGAAGTCAGATTCCTTCCACCGGAGATAACTAGATTACTCATACCTAATCCTGATGCCAGCACTTTTGAAACTTTAGTATTTATAGTAAATTTCCTTTCCTTTTTGTAACAATTTTCTCCTTTCCTTCTGAGAATGTCGAAACCTTTCAAGGGGTGGTTTTTATATTTCGTGCCATTCTATGTTGTTGCTCAATGAAAGAAGTCCTGCTTCCGTCCCCGTCCTCAAGCTTTTATCCTTTCAGGTATTCATATCTATCCACCAATGCGCTCGTTTTCAATTATTACTGTAATTGAAAGTATGACACAATACATACAAAGAAACTATGGCGTTATAAGAAAGATTTTATACGGTTTTCTTTTCAACTTGGACGAGTCTTGCGTAAAAAACAATATTTAAACATATTGTCAAAAGAGCCACATGCCGGTATTGCGCGTGAAAAATATTGAGAATGCAGAGCCCTGGCCAAACGTCTCATCAGTCGAGACCTAGATTTGCAGAATACGGATTGTAACCGTTAGCCCCGACAAGGTTTGCTACTTTGTACGCAGTCGCACAAAGCATAAGCGTACCAGACAGAGCAAGCCATTTCTGATCTGTTTATATACTGCCTAGAAATCTACATCAAGGAGATACCTCCCACAACTTGTCTGACCTTTTCACACCTCCCGTAATTACGGATGACGACATCTTGCTTGCGATTAGGGAACTTTCTCCCAAAAAGTCTTGTGGCCACAATACTATCCCTTCTTTTATTGTGAAAGGCTGCGCAGAAATTCCTGCTTCTTTGCTCGCTAACATATTTACACTGTCCTTTGAATAGTCCACTTTGCCATTTGCCTGTAACAGAAGGGAGTTGGGATTCCATTACTGATATCAAGCCTACCCCTGTGGCAAACCACAGGCCTATCTCTTCGTTACCGGCATTTTCTGAAGTTTTAGAAAAAGCTGTTGACAAGCGTCTACAATTCCTTCTATAATTTACCCGTACTTCAGCTATGCGTAACACGTGTAGCATACGTGCAAAACTAAGTGTGCCTCAATATACCTTTAATTTTATTTATATTTTTTTTCTATACCGCATTTACATTGCTGACTTGTAAGGGTAGCGAAGCCCGTCAAGCAGTGGACGACGCTGCTTTTTTCTCGCCATTCCCAGTTTTTGTTTCAAGCTGAAATAAACGCTCATTGATCTATGCAGCATCTTTAAGCGAGTCATAGACGAGAATCAACACAGTTTACTGAGCGGCCGTTCGGTCGCAAATAACCTTGCAGCTTTTCTGAGCGATGTGGCATCAAGTGTTAGCTTTCACAAACAAACTGAAGCAACTATATTTCGTTTGCAGTAATTCCTTTAATCGAGTCAGTTATAAAAGTTTACTGCGTAAATGATCATCCTATGGCTGAAGTACTGATTATTGTTCATGCTTCCCTAGCTATCTCAGAGATAGGTTGAACTATGTTCCTCATAAAAGCGCCAAGTCATTTTTTTTATTGTTTTCCGCTTCCTTCAGGAGTGTTACAGGACGAACTCGGCCCTTTGGTCTTTAATATTTTTGTGGCATTCCTGATGTGATACAGCAATCCACTTTGTCACAGTTTGCAGACAATATGAAGTTAAATCGCAGAGCATGATGCTTTCATGACTGCACCTCGTTACAAATCGACATTGATGCCATCAGTCAGTGGTATGTACCATAGTAACACAAATATAGGTCGACCCATTTTAGTTTGAAGTGGGGGAGTCAAACCAAATTATTCCACGGCTGAAAAAACGAAACAATCGCAATGGCAATTAATGTAGCAACAAAAACTGAAGCAGACTACACGTTTAATGGGGCAAACTTCTGCCCAAAACAAAAATAGAAAAAGGCTAGCGTCGCAGGCATCAATGGCGGCGAAACAGCAGGATCGAATGCTGAAGAGAGACTTACTCTATATAAAAATATAAAAAATGCAAACTGGCAATTCTTTCAACATTAAAACATGTGCACTGCCCCTTTAAAATCTAGACGAGAAAGTGATGATCTCATTTTTTGTTCCGGTGCTTGCATGTGTATTCTGACTGCTCAATTATCATCTTGCATCCAGGTTCACGTTCCTGCGAGACATTTTTGCTGAAATCGCACATTTGCCATCAACCGCATGTATCGTTTGTCTCCGGTAGTTCGCAGTCAGAATTTCTTACATCCCCTTGACACAACATTTATTGACATTTTCAATGATGACCTCTCGTCATTCAAGAGGAGCATTCAACTCTTGATACAGTGTGTTTTTGCAGAGTACTGTTCTGAATATCTATTCTTTTTTTGTGCACTACCATTATAAGCCCATGGCTGTTGGTAGGCACAACAAATAAATAATCTCCAAACGAGAAAAACGACAATAAACCTTCACTCAAATTGAGTAGCTTGTCTCCGTTGTAGGGGCTATGCTGAACGGTGTGCTCCAGAGAAACACTTTTTGGGAACCGACAAAGGGTGTTGATCTATCGAAGGTTGCAGCAAGTCGTGCTGCGGCTAGCTTGGCTTTATATTTGCGTTTTCTTGTGTTGCCTCCAAGAGTCTTGCAATACACGCTGGTTAGTGAAATGGGTCTATAGCTGCAAGCCAAAGAATGGGGACCACTCTTATGCACAGGAACAACATTGGCAAATTTCCATTCCTGAGGCAGTTATAGAAGCCAGCTCTGAGAAATGAAATAATTTTTTTTCTTTTTCTAAACTCGCTGCGCGAGCTTCCTGAGGCACGAGAATAAAAACGAACAGTTCGAGCCAGAACACCGTGGAGCTCGGACGTCTTTTCTATAAACTGGTGACCCGGAATCCGAAGGCCCCCGCGCCTCGGACCACGACTGCAGCCAGCATGCAGAACCTGGCGCAAGACGGTGACACTACCGGCGACGGCGCGCCTCTTCGTTCCCCCGACGCTACCCTCACAGCCATCCAGCTCTGGCTTCCGCCATTTTGGCCGAAAAATCCACGAGTCTGGATAACCCAGATCGAGGCCCAGCTTCATCTCCACCGCATAACATCCCAGCTGTCTCGGTTCTACTATGTCGTCGCCTCCCTCCCTCCGGCTGTCGCCGACGAGCTGGACTACATTCTGTCCCAACCTCCACCTGACGACGCCTACGACCACCTGAAGGGCGTCCTCCTCAAGCGGACGACAGCTTTGGAGTGCACGAGGATCCAGCAGCTGCTCACAGCTTAGGAGCTGGGAGACCGCCGCCCATCTCAACTTCTTCACCAGATGCGGCAGCTGCTCGGTCCCCAAGCCTCCGGCTCCCAGGACCCCATTCTGCGAGAGCTATTTTTCCAGAAACTTCCACAAGGAATACGCATGGTTCTGGCAGCTGCGGATGACATGCCGCTAGACCGCCTGGCGATGCTTGCGGACCGCACCGCTGAGTACGCTTCACCGTCCATCGCGACAATCACATCACATGAACCGCGTGCCTGGCAAACAGCCCTTACAAGACTCGAGGCGCGCATGGAACCGCTATCCTGCGCTGTTGCTGCTGTGAGGCCGCCGCACGAGACACCTTCCCGACGAACGAGGCGAGATATGTCTCAAACTTGTTCATCCTCGCAACGCACCTCAAAGTCAGCCGACAGATCGCTCTGCTGGTACCACAGGCGGTATGCAGAACGTGCCACACGCTGCCAACAACCATGTCCCTGTTCGGGAAATTCCACGGCCCGTCACTAACAGCGGCAAGTGACTACGGCCAACACCCGAGCCGCTTGTTCTACGTCATGGATAAGATCTCTGGCCAACACTTTTCGGTGGACACGGGGGCCGAGGTTAGCGTCCTGCCAGCGTCACGACTAGACCGTCAGCAGACGCAGCACACCAAACCCCTACGAGCAGTCAACAGCTCTGCCATCGTCACCTATGGCCAGAGATCCCTCACCATCGACATTGGACTGCGACGACTCTTCCGCTGGGTCTTCATTGTCGCAGACCTTCGCGAGGCCATACTGGGAGCGGACTTCTTGGCAAACTTTGGCCTGGCCGTTAACATGCGTGGCAGAAGCCTCACGGATGCTACGACATCGTTCACCTTTCAAGGTATTCTTTCGTCATTT